CCACACACACACACACAGACACACACACACAGACACACACACACACACACACGCTTACGCCCAGGAGAGAAGGGCCATGTCTGGGAGGCGACCTCGGTTTCCCTGTCCTAGCTCCCTCGCGCCCCTACCCCCATTCTGACGTTCTGCCTGCCTGGGTGCAACCCTGTGACCTCCTCGACCCCCACCAGTCACAAGAGTCCAGCAGAAGAGGAGCGCCGGGTAGGGTGGTGAAACCTGTGGCCAAAAGTGGCCGAGGCTGCCCCCGTGGGCCTGGCGTCCGCAGTCAGCCGCCACTCCTGCCTGAATGACCTTGGGGAAGTCCCCTGCTCCCACTCCTGAGTCTCAACATGGTCCCGTGGAGCGTGAAGCCAGCGGTTGTCTGTGCCAGGGCCTGCGACCTTGGAAAAAGGTGGCGGGAGTCTAGTCCCTGCGGACCTCCCAGGAAGGGGAGGGGCCATGGTTCAAGCCTATAACAAAGGAGCCAGCTGTTAGCCGGCGGGTCCCCCATCACTTTGCTCCCGCATGCAGGTTCCAGGCGATGACCAGCTTCAGTGCCCCTTTCACAGAACAACACTGAGGCCAAGAGGCCCCGTCCAGAGACTGGCAATGGAAGAGAAAGAAGGGTGGCCCACCAAAATTCAAGTCTGAGGCGCTGGGAGGCATGCCCCATTCTGCCAAGCTGAAGAGAGATCCCCAGTGGAGGGGTGTACATGGAGGGTGTGAAGGGTCTCCTGGCATATGAGCAGGGTATTGGAGGGTTTGTGGATCCCCTGGCTCATGGAGGTGGGCAGGCAAAAGGTCTCTGGGGCTTGGGAGGAAAAGTCAAGGGCTGGCCACATGTGTAGAGAGCAAGTTTGTCCAGGAACATGTGTTCTCACCATGGGTGATAAATGGGACAGGGAGGCCAGGCCCTGAGAAGGAGGGATCCCATTTTGTGCTGGGTGTCTCTGGGCCAGCCCTTTCCCATCTCTGGGCCTTAGTTTCCTCCTCTGTACCTGCAGCCCAGGAAGGCAGTGCTGCCTGGACTCCAGCATGAAGGGAAAGGCCTTGTTGGCTTCCTCCCCAGAGCCCAGATTTCCTGTTCAACCATATATAGGGGAATTGGAAGGCTAGGGACAAGTCTTCCCTCACCCATTCTGTACTCACCAGGTGACATCACAGTCACTGCCAAGTCCAGTTTCACTATCTACCAGATGGCCCAGACTCTCTCCCAGCATCACTGGTAATTTGTTATGCCTAAAAGAGTGCCTCCACTGGGTCCACCTGCCCTTGGCCCCTTGCAGCGCAGCCAAGGGCCCTTGCCCAGTCCTATGACAGATGTGCACCTCTCCCACATCCCCCACACACATATACAATTCCACAGTCACGAGAATGTGGTGGTGTGTACGCTCACCTGTGCCACAGGGACCCATCTGTTATTGAACCCACTGGCAGAGCCTCCACGTTGCACAACTTGGGTGGCAGCCCTGTACATGTGTGCAGCTTCACAGACTCACACACTCCTGCCTGGAATACAAACCAAGACTCACATCTAGACACGCACAAAGGCAGAGTGCACATGCACTCCCTTGCACTCCAGTGCCCTGGGATACAAACATATGCTTATGCACACACAGGTCTCATCCAGGCCTGGCCCATCCCCAGAGCTATTCTGGGCCAGGCCCGAGCCCAACAAGGTCAGAGACTGCCAACTCCCAGCAGGCCCCAGCCACTGTGTCACAGGCCTAGACTGCCCAGCCCCCACCCCCAGTCCAGGCTAAGTCCAAGATGCACCAGATCCCAGCCTGGCTCTGAGACTAGGGGGATCCTTGCTCCCTATCCCCTGCTTCCCCAGAGCTGAATCTTGAGCCCTAGGGTTTCAGGCTCCAGAAGAGAATGTCCAGGAGGGTCTCCTGGCCACTGCCAAACTCTACCCACAGCTTCCAAGCCAGAGGCTGTGGAGGCTGGACTAGATCCCTACAGGAAACCCATAGGAGCTAAAAATATTACACAAGGGACAAACAGCATTCTGCAGGCCAGCATTCATGCCACCATACATGGAGGAGACACTGTCTTCCAGGAGAACCAGGCTGGAGAGCTTGACGCTCCTGAGCTCTGCCACCCTAGAAATGATGGGCCCAACTCAGGGTTGGGGTGCAGGGATATATGGAGACCCTCATAAGAAGTAGAAACTGTACTGGAAGGTGAGAAGAGCCCTGGGTTAAAAGCTGAAAGCTGAGTTTGAGGCCCCATTTCCTGAGTGACCTTAGGCAGGGCACACCCCCTCTCTGGGCCTCAATTCTTCACAAGTAAACAGGGGAGAGGAATAAAAAGATGGAAAAGGCTTTAACTTTCAGGATGTTCTCTCACGGTGGTGTTTAACATCGGAGAAATGGAAATATGAAAATGTTCAAGACTAGGGCACTGATTGAACAAGGTACAGTTGGCTTTTACAGAGTGTAATTTCACACTGCCTTTAATAATGACAGCAATAATCCTAATGACTCACATTTACTGAAGGCTGATGCCATGATACTGCAGTTACATCCATTTTACAGATGAGGCATTAAAGCTTGGAGCGGTTAAGTAGCCCACAGAGGGGTCACAGCTGTCAATATGATCATATCCAGAAGTCTTAGATTTAAGCTTGAATAATTTCAGAAGTTATAAAGTATAAAGCTACAAATTTATGAGAAACAGAATTTGAAAATTTCATTGCTTATATTTTCTTTATGCTAATTTCATTTTGTGAATTTTGGATAACTAATTTTTTTGTGTCAAGTTTTGCCATCTTCAGAGGGCAAAAAAGGAAATTTAAATAATTAAACTTTTAATTGTGTTTCTTATAAGTTTGTAGCTTTATACTTCTGAGGTTATTAAATAAAAAACTGAGGTTATTAAAGCTTAAAACTGCACTAAGCCTTGCAGGCCATCTTGTTATTTTAAGTCAGTTTGACTCCAAAGCCAGTATTTGATTCCAAACCTACAAAACTCTGGATCTGCAGGGTCCCCAGTTCTGAGGGTGGGCCCAAGACCCAAAGCATCCCAGCCTATGCAGGTCTCCACTGGTGCTTTTGGTGATGAGGAATGCAGGGGTCCAACGCTGGGCTGCTTCTGCAGCATTCAGCAGGCAGGAGATTAATAATAATGGAAGGAAGGAAAGGAGAGAGGGGAGGATGGACCAGAACAGTCCCCCTACCCAAGGCCTCCCTATTCCTCTTCCAAAGTCCTCCCCAGGTCTCTTCAGCTCCTCAGATCTTCCTTCAATCCCTGGGTTGTCAGGGCTCACTCTGAGATTAGGACCAGAGTGCAATGTGGGCCGGGTTCAGTGTGAGGTCAGAGTTAAGGCTCAGACTGGAGTGAGAGTCAGAGCTCAGGCTGGGGCAGAGGCTGAGGATCAGCCAGAATCAGAATATGGTCCTTCAGCCCTTCCCCGGGGAGCTCACACTGTCCTTTGGGGCCATAGATGCTGGCTCCTTCAGGAAGCTTCCATAGCACCTGCAGCTGGCTGCTCTGACCATACCATCCCCTGCTCGCCATCCCCCTACTCCTCTGCTGTGGTGTCCGGGTGACCAGAGCTGCCTCTGGGCAGGAAGCCAGCCCAGAAAGCCCAGGACATCCCTGAGTGACTGTCACCATAGCAACCTGCCTGCCTCCCTTCTCACCCACCCCAACATGGGTCCAGTACTGGTTTTTCTAATTCAGAACGTCAGAATGGGAAGGGCCTCCCGGATCAGCAGATTCCAGCCCCTCCCCTTGTCCCAATGGATAAACAGAGACCCGAGTTGGGAAAGGAGGATGGGACCTGTTGTTTGAGGACCTGACCCCAAACTGTCCTCCCACCCACTCCCACCAGTGTTGGTCTTGGTCGAGTTAGAGGTGGGGGTGGGGGCAGTCTGGAGTCTGATCTCCCGACGGGGGCGGGATCTCCACCCGCAGAGATGCGGGAGGCGGGCAGCAACAGGAACCAGACACCTACGATGAATAAATGATGCCCACTCGCAGCCTGCGACCAGATCGCCACCGCCGAGCGCCGGCTGCCCAGGGAGCAGTCACCAGGCCAACGCGGCCCGGCCAGTATCCCTCGGCTCCCCCGACCTGTGGCCGAGCCCGAGCGGCGCTGCGGGCACGAAGATGGCGGGGCAGCTCTGGGCGCTGGGCGGCGCCGCGCTGGGGGTCTGCCTCACGGCGGTCGCCGGGCAGCTGGTGGAGGTGAGGCGGGGCGGCGCGGAGGGGCTCGGGGTGGCTGTCACCATCCAGACAGAAGGTTGGGGGCGCCTTTCTGACCGGGAGCTGGCGTTTCCCTTCCTCTTGCCTTAGGAGACCTGTTTAAATGGAGACACAGCCCTGTCCCAAGCCCTTCCAGGCTGTGGGAGAGACTCAGCCCCCAATCTTAGTGTCCCTGGTCTGATGGAAGGGCACAGCCCCTGATTTCAGGAACATTAGTTTGATAGGAGACTTACCCTGACCTTAGGGATTCCCAGTCTGATTGGGGATACAGCTTGGCCCAGCCTAATGGCAGACACTTTGCCCCTATCCTTTAGTTTTTGGTTTAGTGGAGTCAGAAGGTGGGGGCGGTGGGGAGTGGTGCTGCATAGTGCCTTGGCTTCAGTGACCCCTAATCTGATAGGCGAGATCTAGTCATTGACCTTAGAATCTGCTGGAGGAAACAGCATCTGCTCCAGAGATCCTCCAGGGTCCCCTGGCTAATAGGGGAGAGACAGCCTTGGGAAGGACGTGAGTGTTTGTGCTTTCCAGGCAGGAGGATGAGAATACCCTTTATAGAGCAGCCGCGTGTTGAGTTTGATTACATGGGGTGCACTAGGCCCTGGAGAGGAGGGGCAGGAAAGGCAGGGCCCAGGGACTCAAGGGTCTTAACTTGGTCCTGGTGACAGCTGGGAGCTAGCAAATGTTTATGAGCAGGGAAGAGTCATGATGAGTCTTGGTTTGGAAGGAGGAGAATTAGTTGGAAGAGGACGCATAGTTGGGAGAACTGGGAGGAGCTGCTGAGACAGCCCAGGAAGAGGTAAGGAGGATGGCTGGGGGTTGGCCAGGAGGCTGACTGGGGCCAGGAAGGGAAGGGTGGGGGCCACCTGCAGGACCAGGGAGGAGTAGGGCTGGAGCCTGTGTAGGCAGGGGCAGAGTGGAGAAAGCAGAGAAACAAGTGTAAGAGATGGCAAAGTACTCAGGAGAGCCCTCGAGGTACTGGGGGACAGAATGGGAGAGGGAGAACAGGGCCTTATCCTTGGGGTGTGAGGGGACAAAGCCTTGAACTAAAGGGTCTAAGGGACATGGGGACAGAGTCCTGCACTCTCCATGCTAGCCTGCCTCTGCTGCTGACCAGGGGGCGTGATCAAAAGGCTGAGCTGGAGTCAGATGTCAGCTCGGGTCCCTGTAAGGAGAGCCAGGCTGGCTTCAGCCCCATGCAGTGTACTTGGGCCCCTCACCGACTGCCCTGAGGCCTTAGGTGCAGAAACTGAGCTGGTCGGGGTGCAGGAGAAGGCTGAGGGTGGGTATCTAATCAGTTATGAGCCAAGGACTCTTCCCCCAGTCCCTCAGGAGCACACCTTCTCCCAGTTTATCAAGGGAAATTGCATTTGGATTCTATCTGCCTGCCATCTGCCTACAGTCTGAGCAAGGGCCTGGCTGAGCCTGGGGGATCCAGGGAAGCACTAGAAAGATGGGCAGGGTGGGGTCCATGACACCACCTATCCAGCCCCTACAGGCATCATCTTCCATCAGCCTGTGAGGCTCTGATGCAGGCTGGGCCTCCAAGCTTCGGAGTCCAGACCCCTAGCAGTACTCACTACAAGGAGATGCCCGACTGTTACCTGTTACCCTCTACCCAAGACCCCTTTGGAGGTGTCTTGAACAAAGCTGGAACAAAAATGTGTCAGAAGTGAGCTCTTGGCTGCCCAGGCTCTGAATCTGAGATATTTACTCTGGCCTTGGAGTCTTCTAGTCATACAACTCAGCTGGGCCAACTCACTGAGCCTTACAATCAGGGAACCCTGCCACTACCCAGACCTTGGTCCTGACTCTACAGACATGTGCCAACCATATGCATGTGTGCCCCAACCATGCATGTGCCCTGTACCAACAGTGCCCAACCCCAGCCCCATGTGTGTGCCCCAGCCCCCTCCCATCTGCCCTGAACCCACACATGTGCTGGACCCCATATACATGTGTCTGACCTCACAAATGGATCCAGGCCCCAGAGATGATGCTGAGGAGGAGAGTCTTCTTATCAATTTTACCACTTAGACAGGGTAGAGCTTCCCAGAGACCCCTGGAACCACCTCAATCATGTTACAGATGGAGAAACCAAGGCCTAGAGAAAAGAAGGCTCCCACCCCAGTCCACCTTGGTTAAGAGAAAAGAACCAGGGAATCACATACCAATCCTGGGGACACAGATCCTCTGGGTTACCTAGGACAGGCTGCTGATCCTCTCCAAGCATCCCCAAAACATGCTAAAGGGTGGTGCTCATCTGATGACGAAGTATCTGGCTTTTGGTGGGTGCCCCATCCATGCTTATGGACCAGGGAAAGACTGGACAGGTGGTTGAGCTGTGGGTTGCCTTTCCTTCCCAGAGAGCTGGAAGAGATTCTTCATGTCTGTCCTTATTTGGTTAATCAGGGGACAACTCATTGCACAGATGCCCCAGGGTCCTCTCTCCCTCCAAGTACTAACCCCCATCCACACCCCTCAGCCAAACCTGGTGAAAGAGATAGGGTCATATCCCTCTCAGCCCCGCAGGTCAGGAACAGGTCTTGCTCAGACCCACCACAGCAGAGCCATGTCCACTCAGACCCCCAGAACAGGGTAGCTGGTGTCCCACTGGGAAGGTGGGAAGTGGCTCACGGCGCTCTACTTTTCTCCAGCCATGCTTATAACTTTTGGCCTCCAGGTGTCGCTAATGCATTTCGGACAAATTATTTAGCTAGTCCTGTCCCGTAAGGAATCTGGCCTAGCCTTCTGGTCAGAGGAGGTGACTCAAGTAGGACAGGCAACTACTGAGGCCACCTGGCGGGGGGTCTTGGTCAAGTAACAGTCACAGGGCCCTGGCTCTAGCTCCACACCTCACCCCACTGGGGGTGTGTGAGAGCAAAGTCCCCCAGGATAGTACAAGCCTTGCCTTGTCTCTGGCCTTGGTCCTGAGACCCCATCTGCCTGTGTGGGGCCCAGCACTGGAGAGGAAAGGAGGGGACTTGAACTTGATCGAGACAGACCATTCATGTTTGCCCCTTGGGGCCTTGGTTTCTTCCAAACATCAGCCACCCTTGTACTCTAAGTTCCTGGCTCCATGGTTCTGGGCCCTGCCCTCTTCTCTTGTTCTAAATCTGGAACTTCCCAAAGTTTGGGGCATTGGTTATGAATGTCTAAGTCACTTGATTCTAGGAGATTCTGAAATGCTTTTCCTTGTTGAGACCTGGGTCCCTCTCGGCCTCGGTCCTAGCCCCTGGCCTCTGCCTGGCTCACTCTGTTCTCTCTTGACCTGCAGCCCAGCACAGCTCCGCCCAAGCCCAAGCCACCCCCACTGACCAAGGAGACGGTGGTGTTCTGGGACATGCGCCTGTGGCACGTGGTTGGCATCTTCTCGCTCTTCGTGTTGTCCATCAGTGAGTAGCTGCTCCTCGCTCTCCCTGCCATAACACAGTGGGAGCATAGCATCCTTTTCCCCCTCAGCACCACCCCCAGGGGCTCAGAGCAGCAATTCCGGGCAGTGCAAGCAGGCCAGGCGCCCGCAAGAGGCCCGTTGTGGTTTCTGGCACCTCCTGAGCCACACAAAGTCCCTGTGGAGAGCTGACAGACCGGTGGTGACCTGAAGTATTCTGCCTGATCGGGGATGCAGCCACATGGCAATTACGGTAATTACAGGGGACTCCACTGAACCAGGACGAGGACGTGTCATTTTTCCCTATCACTGGCCTCCTGATGCTTTTCCTGTAGTTTGGCCAACTTAAAGTGCCCAAGCCCAGGGGCCCCAGCAAGGCCACTGTTGGCCGCAGTTCAGTCCTAAAGGCTCCCCAGTTCAGCCCAGCACACGTGGCTCCCAGGCTGCAAACCCTGCATTGTCAAATAACATTTCCCCAGAATGACTCACATCCACTTCAATTAAAAGCAAGAGACCCCTTTCTCCCTTGGACCTGGGAGTTGTTTGATGCGAAGTCATAACAGAAGCAGGCTTGGCATGCTCCCTTGAATTGTCCTTCCGGAGTAGGCGTCTGGAGTTAGAGAAAAGGGGGCCAAGAAATGTCAGCTGGATGAGGGAGGCCACCAGGGTACAGAGCATAGACTGATAGAAGTTCCTACAGGCCAAAGGGAGGAGCAGGGGCACAGGCAGTGAAGGAAAGGAAAACCCACGCCCCCGAAAAGGCTTCATGGAGGACGGGTCCTCTGAGCTGTAGATTGGTAGGATGGATGGGTGGTTTTGTCAGGTAGGCAGCTGGAAAGGCACCCTAGACAGGATAGTGTGGGCAGAGGTGGGTGGAAACAGCCTCCACCCAGGTCTCAGATAACCCCTGCAAGACATTTACTGAGTGTACCCTGGGTCAGGGGCTAAAGGGGCATTTAAGTTCCCAGAGGGGCAGAACTGATCACAAGGGCCCATCCAGATGTGAGCGCACCAGAGACAAGGACATCTAATTTGCATGTGCTTCTCCTGGCACCAGAAGTCCCCTACCTGCAAGAAAATATCCATTCCCCCCACTGCCATCGCTTCACGGCTAGGGTAGAAGGATCTGAGCAAGAGGCTTCATTTTGTTCCTAGCCAAGGCCAAGAATCCATCAGGCTTCTGAGTGGAGGACCCCACAGACAGACAGGTGTGGCTATAGCCCCAGCCCAGGTGTCCAGAGAGGGGAACAACCCCCAGTACCGAGGCAGGGTTGGGGGAAGCATCTGCCCTGCAGAAGCCACAGAACCATCCAGGGTGCAGGTCCAGGGAGCAGCTCTGGGGCACCCTGGGGAGTACAGGTAAGGGCACTGTGGGGCTTCAAGACACACAATGGTTTCTCCCCACCTCTGCTTGGCCCTAGATGGTGGAGGTGTCTGGGGCCACACAGGAAAGTTGCAGTGTCAGACCCAAAGAGGCACCTGAACCTCAACTACACAGATGAACTTCCACTCTTAACCCCATTTACTAGAGAAGGTAAAGGCCTCTGAGCAGCAGGTCAGCACTTGTTACCCTCCATGTAGGGCTCTAGGGAGCAGGGATGACACAGCTCCGTCTCTGGGGAGGAAACTTCTTTCTCGCTTCCCAGTCTGCCTGGACCTGGGTGGTACAGCTGTTAGCAGAGCAGCACCCCTAGAACCTTGTGGAGGGGCTGGAGCTGGACAGGGTGCTTCTGGAAGTCACCTCTACCCCCAGGGACTCCTATCCCAAGCCCCTGACTGGGCCCTGGAACTTGATTCAAGGAACTCTATTTCTCTGCTTCTTTGAAGAGAAGTAACCAGGCCAGGCTGGATGGGGCAGACCTGGAGTGAGGGGAGGTGCTCGCGTCCTGCTCTGGCTGCCAATAGCTGCCTCTGAGTTCCCCTTAAAGCCCAGGCCTCCCAGGGACTCCAACCAGCCTTTGCAGAGAGCCTGAGTGGGCATGGTCCTGAGGAGGTACCTGGTAGGGTGGCTGGGAGAGGTGGCCCAAGCCAGAAGAGTGGGGTTGGGGGCCAGACTTGGGCCTCAGGCATACAGAGGTCTGGAAGGGGGCAGAACCCAGCTCTTTGGATAAGAAAGGCCTGCTGTCTTCTCAGGCCTATCCTCGAACTGCAATGCACAGTCAGACTTGCTGCTGGGGCCCTCGTGCAGCCCCCCAGCCCAGATTGCCCCTGGATGTCGATGTCTGCCTCATCCATTCATTCAGGAACCCAGTCCTTTAGCAGTAAATTCTGTGATTCTGGGGGAGACTCAGTGGGGCCACAATACTGGCTGAGGGATTGCACAAGATGACCTCAGGGGGTGCTCCAGCCCAGGCCACGTAGGTCTGATCCATCTTCCCCAAAATAGGACTGGCTTGTCCTCCCTGGCCCTCCTGCTCCTAGAGTCTGCCATGAAGTTATGTCTGGTCATCTGATTTATAATAGGAAGCAGCTCCATTCCCTCCCCTGAGGCTAGGGCCAAGGTGGTCAGACTGTGGGGGCCTTAGAAAAATAAACTCAGTCCAGCCGGGTCCTGGCAGCCCTGCCCTGCCCACCCCTAGACAGGCCAACTCCATGCCCTGTCCCAGTTTGTGTGGGCACAGCTGCCCTGAGCCGGAAAACCACTCCTGGAATAACTCTGTCTGATGTGAACACCCCAGGGCAGGGTCTATGCCCTCTCCTAGGTTCTCACAGCCAGGAGGAGCCCTGCTAGTCCTTAGGGAGGTTGAGGAAGATGAAGCCACATTCTCCAAGGTCTGATGTGCTCTCAGGAGTCTTGGAAGAAAAAACTAGGATGCACCAGGAGCCCAGAGGCCTCGGTTGGAAGCACAGGGCAGCCTCCAGGAGGCTGTAGCCTGAGTCATGGTGCAGCCCAGTGCCCTGCCCTCCAGGTGCTCTCAGGTTAGTCCTCAGGACCAGGACTGATGACATAACATACAGGGCCAGTACACAAAGAAAATATGAGACCCCTTGTTCAAAAATTATTAAGAATTTCAAGATGGGGACAGCAGAGTGTTAACCAAGCACAAGGCCCTTCTGAGAGTGGGGCCCTATGTGAAGCCAGCCCTGCTCAGGAAACACATCTTGGGTGAGACACACATGGGTAGATGAAGGCAGGCCTGAAATTTGGGTACCATTCCTGGGGTGTCTGAGCACCGGCTCTGGCCAACCCTGCTCTGCCCTCCCTCTGTAGTTATCACTCTTTGCTGTGTCTTCAACTGCCGTGTGCCACGGACCCGGAAGGAGATTGAAGCCCGGTACCTGCAGCGAAAGGCAGCCAAGATGTACACAGACAAACTGGAGACTGTGCCACCCCTCAACGAGCTCACGGAAGTCCCCGGAGGTGAGCAGGCCTCGGCCCTCAGCCCAGCCACTATTTGACCCTGTCACGCCTACCAGCTCCTTGGTCCTGCTGCCTGGAGTTGCCCTATTCCTCCCCTGCACCTGGTTGAGGGCCAGGACCCTGCCCTGTCCCTGGAGACTAGAGCACAAATAACGGGTCAGAGTGAGGCAGGGAAAACAAGGAGCTATTCTGCAGGTAGGAGGTTTGGAAGGAAGAAAGAATGAAGGGCTGGACTGGGAGGCTCTGGCGTGGACCCTAGGACCCAATCTAACCCCTGTTGCACGCCTCTTTCCTCTATCCTTCAGAGGATAAGAAGAAGAAGAAGAAAGACAGTGTGGATACAGTGGCCATCAAGGTAGAGGAGGATGAGAAGAATGAGGCCAAGAAGAAGAAAGGAGAGAAATGAGAGATTCCTCATTTCTGGAAGCTCTGGAAGCTGGCCGGCCCTGGGGCTCATAGTCCTGGCCAGGGTCCAGACATCTTAGACTCTAAGCTCATACATGGACCAGAGGTGGCAGAACATCCTCTCCCTGCTCAGAGTGGGTTGCTGAGGCCCAGGACAGGGTCCTAGGACCTATCCGGGCAGAGACAAGACTACATCAGGTATGCTGCCCCCCAGCCTGGACTCCACTCCTTCCACCCATCCATGTGGCCACTCCGCAGAGGTAGTCTTGGGCCACTGTCCCTCTGTAGATCCAAAGTGGATCCTGTACTCACCCAAATGTGCCTCTGGCCCTCCTCTGCCAGGAACAGCAGTGGCTAAAGGGGCAGTGGGATGAGGGTTTCGTTCTGGAAGGGGAAGGCTGACACGGACGGGCTAGATATAAGGTCATACCGGGCTGGCCACAGAGAGGGAGAGGGTCGCTGGGGGACAGCTGTGGATAGCAACCCTGGTGGTGAGGGGACTGCCCCAAGCCTGGAAAGGGTTCTGGCCCAGGGCGGTGAGCAGAGGGTGACCAGAAGCAGAACCCCCAGCCCAAAAGATACCAAGCTCCAGGTAGTAGATGCACTTATCTTACACGTTGCTATACAGCTGAGGCTGCTGGGGGGCCTAGCACGAGGCCCGGGGGCTCAGGGCTGGGGGCTGCAGGGGTGGGTCAGGGTGCAGAAGGCTGAGGCCAGTATGCTAGAGGGAGAAGGGAAGAAAGCTGGCACCTGGGCCCCATCTTGGGAATCCAGGGAATATTTGAAAAGCCAAGGGAGACCTTGGGCTGTTCTGGTGGCCCTTTCTATGCTCAACTGTGGTGGGAGGTGTCAGGGCCCCAGGAGGTCACCGCTGCAGGCAGTGAGAGATTGAGGCAGCAAATAGCCTTCCATCTGCTGAATATAACAGCACGCAGCTTCCTCTTCTACTCTCAACTCCAGTGCCTAAAAGACGCACTGCTGCCCAGAAGGTGAAGGCCCAAATGCCACCTGGGGACTGAATCCTTGGGGAGGGGAGATACAGAGAGGGGTTTCTAGATGGCAGTGAACATCAGCTGAGGAACTCAGACCTGGGCCTGGAGACACCAGAGGTTTCCAAGCCAGGTGGAGCTGCTGGTAACGCTCACACTGCCTCTGCAGCCTGCAGAGATTCGTAAATAAAGCTGAGTGACTGGAGATGAGCCCTCAGATGCGCCATCCCTGGAGCATTTATGTGGAGGGTGATGCATTGATCAGTGATAGGGACGTTCCCTCCCCTGACTTTTCTCCCAGCCTGAATTCAGATGAGCTGGAGGGAGAAATGGTGGCCAAGAGGCAGAGGGTCAGCCGCAGCCAGCGGGGCCCGGCCCTAAGGCAAGGCATCAGGACCGGGGAGGAAGCTGCCTGCTCTCCACTTGCCTCTGCTCCATCCCGTGGGTTTCAATAGGCAGGTGCTTGGGACACAGAGGAGTCAAACCTGGATCCTGATCTGGACCCAGATCATTATTACACAAGGAGAAGGACCCAAGCTGATAAAGGGGAAGGAGCACCAGGTCTTAGAGCCATCAGTGGGCAGAGAAATTACAGAAGGCCCTGATATGGAAGCTGAGTACTCACCGTCAGTAGGTAGGAACCCTGACTCTGCCCTCAGGGACAAGCCAATGGGCTTCTCATACATATATGGTTGTGGCAAAGATCATTCTACCCACACAGGGCAGAGCCTTCCTGTTGGCTGGGCAGGAGAAGCCCAGAGGAGCAGGGGCCACTTGAAGTCAAACAGCAGCTGGTAAAGTCTGGGAGAAGTCCAGGCCCGAGCTCCATCTGTCCTGCCAGCTGCCTCTCTGACCTCTTACCTGGGCCTCCACTAGCCCTTTATGGACAGGCATGTCTGCTGATGGTAGGGATAATGTCTGATCCCAGTGGGCATCTGCCCCTGTCTCCAGCAGGAGGCTGGGCTAGAAGGTCAAGGTCCATTGCAGTGTTTCAGGGCAATGACAGGATGTGTTCTAGCCACTGGCAAGGAGACGGGCCAAAGTCAAGGAGACCATACTCACCTCCCTGGCGCAGACAGAGCTGCACGCTCACCCCCAGCCTCATGCTGTGTCCTGGCAGCCCCAGCTTCAGCCTGGGCAGTACATTCTAGGCCCTCCATCATCTGACCCCAATATCATCCCTACACACTCCCTCCACCTTCTGCCGGAGCCACCCTGGACCTTTGGAGGCAGATCCTGGGACTCTACACTTTTCAGTATAAACTTCCTGAGTCACCCATCCTAGCCATCCAGTTCTCTCATCTCCCACTTGAGCAGGACCAGGGAACGAGGGGCCGCCGAGGCCCAGGAAGGAGGAGGCATGGGGAAGAGAAGTGTTTAATCGAGCACCTACTCTCCACCCTGCCTTGTGGGGCTGTGAGAGCTGCACCTGTGGCAGTCTGGGCACAGAGGGTGAGGAGGGGCCTCGGCAAGGGGGGGGCTCACCCAGGAACAGCAAGAGAGTGTCAGAGGACAGCAAGGAGGCTGAGGGGCAGCAAGAGTGCCACGAGTAGGACCCTGGACGGGGCTGGCAGAATCTGCCCATTGAGGCGCTCCCAGATCCACTGCTGGTAGGAGGAGATGTGTAGATAGACGGGTGGGAACTCGCTCTTCTTGCAGCCTGGGCCCCAGCTCACCATTCCCACCAGGTACCATATTCTCTCCACAGGACAGGCCAAGGGCTCACCACTTAATTCCTGTGGGGAGGGGTTGGGGAACAAAAAGGGTCAGGGAGGCTAGATGTGGTCCAAGGGAGACTTGATCCAGCTCAGGGACAAGCAGGGAACCCTCACACTGGACCTTCCCCACAGTCCCCTAGTGTCACACAGATGAGAAGAGGTGCCCTCGAGGTCCTGACCCAGGAGACCTTCCTCCAAGGGCTCCATCTCCCATCTCTCTGCCAGTCCTCCACCCACCATCTCTTTAACACCCACCCTCCACCTTCTCACCTACCCCCATCCTTCTCCCTCATCACAAACCTCCATCCCCAATCCCCATCACTCTGACCCCAACCCCCCATCTCTTTCCTCCCAGTCTCCATCCCTCATCCCATCTCCCACCCCCGTCTTCCCATCTTCCCCTTCGGTCACCCCTGCTCATCCCCAACCCTCCATTTTCTGTTCCCCCTCCCTTCAGGTCCTGTCTCCCCTGTGCCCCATCCCACTCCTGGCCAGGTGCCCTTGGAGGCAAGTGAGCGAGTGCGAGAGGTGCTCACATAGCAGAACTGCTCCCTGTCGACGTCCTTTGCACAAATCATCTGGGAGTTGATGATCTGAATCAGAGAGGGGATTTTGGAGAACCTGTGGTAGAGGCTGTCACACTCTGTGCTGTTCAGGATGGTGACTTCCTTCTCCTGAACGGTCCGGAACTGGGGCCATACACCTGTGGGACAGGGGCCCCATTCAGGCTTGGCGGTTTCTTTCCTGCCCACAGCCTCATGTCCATCCTCCCTCACCACTCCTCCAGCCTCTTTTCCTTGCCACACAGCAGTCCTGGAGATCTATCCAGGCTTAGCCCACCCACTATTCCAGCTGACACTTCCCAAGGGCCCCTCAATATAGAGACCCTGGAGCAGGCTACCAATGCTCTGGCCTTGCTAGACCTGGTCTCACGTCCATTGATTGAGTCCATTCTGATCTCAGCATCTTGGCTTCTGCATTCCTTCTATCCCAAATGCCTACCAAGCCCATCTCAGGTCCAAACCCTGCCTTTTCTTCAAATCTTCCCCAAAGGTCTCTTCTGTCCCTAAGCTTCCCCAGACCCCCCTCTGTGGCTCCCAGGCACTCCTCACTCCCCTCCCCACTCTCCCAAGTGTGTCTGTCCCTAGTCTGAGCTCCTGGAGGACGGAAGGCTTCAGACTGTTCCCAGCCAGTCCCCAGACAGGCCATGGCAAGGAAGACAAAAAGCTGCCCCAGGCTGGAGACCCTGTGGGCTTTTTCAGGCACCGCGAGGCCACAGGGAAGGGCACCTCTTTTGTGGGAAAGGGAAAGGGACTCCCTGAAGGGGATGGACATTCTTGGGGCTCATAAGGAAATGAACTCTTGGATGACCCTGGGACAACACTCCTCGCTCTTTGGTCTTTGCTCCTAAATCAGGATAATGAGGGATTGAGGGCCACTGGCGGGGGAGAGAGCTGAGTAGACCCTCACTGATATCCATCTTCTGGGTGCACACTGCCCTTAGCCAGCCACGAGGGGGATCTGGGGAGCTTTTTACAGACACAGAACCCTGCTCCTCTCACCTTGGGTGTTCTGCTTCATGACATGGATGCCCTGGGATTGTATGCAGACAGCAAAATATTACTCTGTGCCCCCTCTGCCTTCAAGGAAGTCCTGTCTACATGCCCTGGCCTGGGCCTGAAGTTTCAAGGGCAATTTGGGTCCCTTAAGGTCTGAATGGCCACAATGCATTCACTGCTGAGACTCTCAGGGGGAAAGAGACCTCAGATATGAGAGTCTGACAGCAAGTGAGGGGGCAGTGGACTCCCTAGGGAAGGTGTCTCAGAAACACCCGTTCGCTGTAGACCTGGGCCTGCACCCAAGTCCTCTCCCACACCACCCACCCTGCTGTGGGAAGGCTCCAACTCACCGTCAAGCCTGGGGAGTCCCCAGCCTGTCACAGTGCACAGGGTGTGGTCCTTCACCTCATAGTCCAAGCCGGGCAGGCAGATGGGCCAGACATACTTGTTGTACTTGAGTGGTCGCTCAAGCTTAAGGAGGGCAATGTCATTGGCCCGGCCAATCCAGGACCAGTACCGATGGGACCGGTAATGGCGGTTCATGATGACCTGCTGTGCCAGCACGTCGACAGTAGTTTTCGATACCTGGTCAATCTGCGGACTTCCCGCCCGCACTGAGTAGGTAACATCACTCCTAGGGGAATAGGGAGGGGAGTCTGCCATCAGCTCCAGGAACCCCACCCCAGCCTGTACCCCCTACCTTTCACCCCACAGTTGCACTCTGAGCTAATCCAGGCAGGCCACCCACCTGCTTCAAGCCCCTTGAGCCCACTCCTCACAACAGATGTGAATAGGGCTCTGCACACACACTGCGTGGTCCAGTCCTCACAAAAACCCTTCATTTTATGGAAAGGGAAACTGGGGCCCAAGTGACAAGTTCAAGGCTACACAGCTAAGAGGTAGTGGAGCTGGGACGTGGACCCAGCTGTCTCTGGTTCCAAACTCTGGACTCTGTCCAGCATCCCATGCTGGGCCCTGGAAGTGACAGAGGTCCTGTGCAATCCATCAGCCATGCCTTGCCTCTTGGTCTCCCTTCTTAGTGCCCCTGGAGTCTCTATGTCGACCCTTAGGCTTGGAGCATGCTTCTCCACTGGCCAGCCCTCATGGCCAACACAGATGTGGCTCTCAGGCCACTCCCTGGCCCCAGAACATGAGCATGCCTGCTCTCTTGTCCCCCATAGACCAGACTCCTCTGTGAGCATCTATCTTCTTGTCTGTTTTCCCCAGCTACCCAAGAGGAGTGGTGCAGCCCCCTTTTGCCTCCAGTGCTCAGGCCAGGGCCTGGCTTCAAAGAGTGTCAAGCTGTTGGTTGAATGAAGGAAGGAAGGAATAAGTGAAGCAAAGGGTGTGGAACAAAAGAATATGGACCTTCTTTCCGTGGATAGGAGGAAGGAGGCCTAGACAGTGGGTTGCAAGCCTCCGCTTCCTATCTGTGGAACGACTGCACAGGACTCGGGGGCCAGGAGAGGGGAGCAAGTTTCCGGCTCCCAGCAAGGAATGTGCAGGGCTCAGCCCCCACCTGCTTGGAGCTGGGGTGAGGGGGGCTGGGACTATGGGGTTCTGCAGAGGACTGATAGGCCAGCTGGCAGGATGACTGGGGCCCCAGTGGCTCCAAATGTCTTTCCACCCACCCATCTAGGCCCCGACTCACTGGGTCATGCAGTGGGCCACGGTCAGCACCCAGTGGGAGGCAATGAGGGTGCCTGCACAGATGTGTATGCCATTGGCCCGCACACTGACCATCCATGGCCACCGCCGAGCCATGGCCTCCGGATCCCTGAGGGTGGGGTCCAACTCATAGGAGAAGCCACAGGCTGAGGAGGAAAGCAAAAGGAGCCTGATGAGGAATGGGCCTTTCCAGCCACACTCCATAGCACCTCTCCCTCCTCCCCTACCCCTCAGCCCAATCTCCCACCTAGCTAGCCACTGGCCCGCACCCATCCAGTGATTCTCCCTCAGCACTGGTCATCACATAATGATGCTGTCCATGTGAGGACGGGGGTCTCCAGCCTCGGAAGGGCCTCAGCACTCCCCAGGTATCTCTATCTCCCTGATCCCACAGACCAGGCCTCAGGGTCTTCCCAGTAGACCAGCCTGGTGTGCCACTGGCCCCTGTGTCCTGGCTGAGCAGACTTCAACTTTGGCCAGGCCCCTCACAAACTCATCTCTGTTTCCATCTGGTTCCCCTACTTCAGCCAAGGCAGATCCCTTCCCCTCTAAGATCCTCCTCCTCAGTGAAAGGAAAGGCAGATGACCTAAGAGGGAAAACTGGGCAATGTGCACAAACACACACCTCTAAGGATGAAACCCTAGCAGCAAATGAACACAGAAGATGCTCAGCCCCATTAGTCATCAGGGAAGTACGGACTCAAATCACAGTGAGGTTCTGCTCACCGCCACCTGCCAGGTGAAATTAAATGTCCCTGATACCAAGTGCTGGTGAGAATCACGGCCCCAGACTGCTCACTCACTGCTGGTGGGAGTGTCAGTGGGTGCAGCCACTTTGGAAAAGCTTTTATGGAAACGTTATTTAAACTGAAGATGCACATATACAACGTCACAGCAGCCCCACTCCTATGTGTTCCAAATGGATTAGCGGATTGTGAGATCAGTAGCACCAGGGGCACCACGACTAGCAGCTGTAAAGGCTAACACAGGAGAGGGAACAGCAGCACGCACAGCAGAGTGCTGCTGGGTTGTGTGTGAGAGACTTTCTGGGGCAGTTAAACTGTGTACACTGAGTTCCAGGGTGAGAAATATTTATGTGGACCTTACTTAAACATGTGTTAAAGCCGCTGCTGGAGAAAACATCTTGTGGGTGTGCCCCCGAGACACCCAATGGAAGGCTCCCTGAAAGCTATGCTGGAGATCCCTAAAGGCCTTGGCTGGGAGCCTGGGTCAGGGCCTGGCGCGGGCTGAGAGGCGCCGGCCCCACAGGCCATTCAGGGAGGCAAGACCATGCAGCCCACCCCAGGCTCTTTCCACCTTCCTTGCCTCCTAACTCACCAGGATGAGAGGCCTGGCCCACAAAGGTACTCAATAAACACCGGTAAAAGGAAGGTCTCCTCTCACTCTCCCTGCCCCCTCTTTCTCGGTCCCTTAAGAGCCTCAGGACTGCTCGGGCACCTTCCTCCCGCGTGGAGGGCACAGTCCTCACCAGGAAGTAAGTCGTCGTCGGCAGCTTTAGAAGCACTGTACTGCTGGGTCGTCTTGGCCTGTGGTGTGGTCCTGGGCGGCGGGCTGGTCCTGGGCGGGGGACTGGTCGTGGACTGCGGGCTGGCCGTGGGCGGGGGACTGGTCGTGGGCGGCGGGCTGGTCCTGGGTGGGGGACTGGTCGTGGACGGCGGGCTGGCCGTGGGCGGGGGACTGGTCGTGGGC